ACTGATGGTGCGATGGATATCAAACTCTAAATCAACGGAGATATGATAAAACTAAGTGAATGAAGAACAGGTTTCGCGCGTCGAGTTCAACATGAAAGTCGACTTTCATCTTGTAGTGCTTATTGTTAATATTCATAACCACTTGGGACAAAACAACAGGGATGAATGACGATTGACTAAGCAGTGCTGCTTCTTCTAGCTTTTTATGCTGGAAATTATCGTAACTTTCGTTTTACTTGCTGAAATTTACAATAAATCTGGCCGCCTTCATCTTACATATCACGCCTTCACATTTTTCTCCTGCTGCCATTGCTCTTCTTTTGTTCGGTAGATCAAATGCTTGTTGATTAAGGCGATCACTCGAATTTCTGGAATTTTTAATTTTTGTTGCATTTTTGAACATAATGAGCGTCGATGTTTTCGTTACACATGTGCGAGTCTTGTTTTTTGTCAACTGTTAGAAAAATCCGACACGAATTAACTTGTCAGGACTGAAGATTTACTTTGTGTATTCTCGTTTGAAGTCGATTTTTTTTACATTAACAGGTGATGTACGTCTCGACTTTCTTGAGCTTCTTTTTCTCTAAAGTTTTGCGTAGCTTTTATAGTTGATACAGTCCAAGCTTTACCGGATAAGATGGTGGACGGCGTTTTCTCAACTGCTTACGGTTGCTAAGATTTATAGCCTTCCGTGTTAGCGTTGCTTAGTCTGTCACCGCTTACAAACCACGATGAGGTGCCTGGCTTGAAAATCTGTGGGAAAGTTAAGAAGTACAAGAAGTATCAGGTGAATATTCACATCAGGGCAAGTTTTAAAAAGTAAAATGTGCAGTTCCTTCAGCGCTAGCAAACTGTAATTTAGGACGGCTCGACCACAAACTAGGGTTTCTGCATGCCGATCAACCGTATTACGGTTATTATCACTCACGCATTCGGTATTATCAGCAGGTGGACGCAGCATATTTGCAGTATCACCAGGTTGGAAGTCTTTGGCATTGTTTATGGTGCTTGTTGTTGCTTTTCCTGTTTTAAGAATGTCTGTGGGTAGCAACTTTCTCACAGTTTACTTTTTGATATTTTTTTTGTTTGTACTAGCATTCTGCTTCTCAAGCGATCAAATTTCTTAATTTAGCGGCTTGAAATTGATCCTCGAAGTCTAGTACAGTTTAGCAACTTCTAAATGATTTCGTGTCTTTATCTAATTTTGTTTTTCATTGACCGAATTAGCTATTCTGGACATGCTTGCACATCGGTTTTTCTAATTCTTAATCGCAAGAGGAGCACAGACTTTTTGTCGGACGATTAAGGAAAGAGGAATGATTATAGGCTTTCACTAAAATGTCTCAGTAGCTTGCTTGGAACTGCACTATATCGTATTTTTTGAAATTTAATGTTTTCAGACAACATCAAACGCGGAAACAGAGGCATCAGATCTTCCGAAGCCGGAAGCAGTTGATTCTGGTAGTGTTAAACATTTTCATCCTAATTAAAACGCTTTCACTAAATTTCGTTTCCGTCTTCATTCTGCAAGTGAGGAGAATCCTTGCTCCTTTTGATACGTTTAAAATTCCCTTTCCCACCCTTCCACCGATCGAATGAATGCGAAAGTATGCTGATATTGATTTTCAAAGTTTCATGTGAATGACCCCAAATCTTCTGCCATTAGCTGTTGAGGGACCGATAAGTTTCGGGGTTCTTAGTATTTGAGAGACAAGTTACACAGAGTGTGACATTTATACGTTTTTTGATACTCAGCTCATTCTGTAAATGCGATTGGCAAATTTTTGCTTGCTGAAACTATTGAAAGTTCATATGACGAGGACTAGGGAATTATGAGCAGTAGAGTTAATTTGAGCGAATGCACTTTTTAAATTTTGTAAAATTTACTCACAAAATATGCAAATGCTTTTGCGACGCATAGAAATGAAACGGTCAATTTTTATGCATTTTTTGCATCTGTGCAATGCGAAAAACACTTATTTTCGCGGGGTTTTCTGTGTTTGTGTGTATGTGTGCATTTGTACC